GAGCCGTGTGGGCTTTGGGGATCTTCTAGCCCACGTGCCCCACTTGCCAGAGGAGAAAGCAGGAGCCCAGAGGGATCCAGAGCCTAGCCTCAGAACACACAGCTAATGAATGAGAGGCGCAAGGGCAGCCTAGAATCCATGCCTTTAGAATTCTCCCGGCCCATGAGGGAGACTCAGCACTCGTTCCCTGTGCCTGTCCCTCGTCTCAGACACCACCTTTGGGGGTCTGTGTGTTGCTATGATACTTAGCAGGTGTCAGCAGGCCCTCCAGACCAGAAATAAGTCAATGCAGCAATCAACAACCCAAACTCAGCCAGTGGAAGCCCTGTGGATCCCAGGGTCTGAGCCGCTGCTGATGTTGGGCATGGCACGGAGAGAGGCGGGAGAGAGACGGGTGCTGTTTCGTTCCGCCGTGTGGTTGTCCAGACTCAGCAGCAGCTAACATCATGACTTGCTCTGTTGTTAAATGCACTTCGCACTGGACTGTGCTGCCCAAAGCCACTCTTTTCCGGAGGTCTGCAGCCAGGTTCCATCTCGGCTAGGGGACCTTTGTTTTAGGCTTCAGGCCCAACCTTATACTGTAGCTTGCTTGAAACTCTTGGCTGGCAAAGTGCCACGTGCCCAACAAAGCCGGGAAGCCATGCTTGGCGTTCCTCAACAGCTGTCTGCACCAGGCACCACCCTGTCCCCTTCCTATGGAAAGTAAGGGGCCGAAGGACACATGCAAGGTCATCCATGTCTGCAGAACTCTAACCTCTTGGTGGCCCTAACCTCCAGGTAGGGATACTTTATTCAGCCCTATTGATTTTGTGCCCCCCCAAATCAGCATGAGCTCTAGAGAGAGAAGCATCTCTAAATTGTTCTCGATTTGTAAACACCCTGATGGATCAGTCAGTGCCACATCTGCCTCCCCATCAGGGTTACGGGCGTGGTCCTCCCCAGGGAGTCAATTCATTCCAGGATGTGGCCCTCTGCCTCCCCTGCACATAGCAGAAGCCTCTCTTGAGGACCGGTCCAGGTCCCCACACCAGCGTAAGGGAGAGAACACTGGGGTGTTGGCGTGCACCTCTATCTGAGCAGGAAAGCCACCCCCACCTTCTAGCCCTAAGCTTTCCCTGTGGGCCAAAGCGAAGCCATGGTCACATTTCTGCTTCCTTCCAAAGAACCCCTCAGTGTTGTCACTCAACCCCATCCGAGGGCCAGAGTCCGGCGGCACCATGGTAACCATCTCGGGCCATCACCTCGGGGCCGGGAGCAGCGTGGCGGTGTACCTGGGCAACCAAACCTGCGAGTTCTATGGGTAAGATGCTGGCCCCTGAGACACAGGCAAATGTGCACCTCTGTAGCGTGTGCTTGTGTGTCCCCATGCATGTTCATGCATCACGTCCGTGGGACGTGCCACATGCCAGGGCCCACACCCCATTCCGTCCCCTGGGAGAAATCAACACCCTGGTCCATGAGTATGGCTCCTTCTAAAATTAAGTGAGGTCTCTCAGGGAAGGCCATGAACAACTCCAGGTGAAGATACCTCCTGGAGCTCCTCATTCAGTCTCAGGACCCAGCAGGGGGCCATGGTGGCACAGTGGTCAAGTGCTCAGCCGCAAACCTACAGGTCAGCAGTTCGAGCCCACCAGCGGCTCCTCGGGTGAAATACGAGGCAGCTTGCTTCTGTGAAGACTGTCAGCCTCAGACACCCTCCGGGGCACTTCTACTCTGTCCGATGGGATCCCTGAGGTGGAACTGACTCTGGCCCCCAACACCAACATGGAGACCTGAGAAACATGGAGACCACCTGCTCCCAGTCCTTTCTAAGCTTCTCTTTGGCCAGGCTTCCCTTCGGCCTGACAAGTAGTTATCAAGTACCTACTATTCATTAGACCCTCTGCGAAGCTTTGTGGGTTAGACAATCCCCAGAGCATTCTGGAAGAATTCACGGATGAGAACCTGATTGGCCCGCTATTCTCAACCTAATAATAGCCTCCTTGGAGTCCCTAGATGGTGTGGGTATTTAGCCTGCTCAGCTGCTAACAGAAAAGTAGGCAGTTTGAGTCTCCCCAGAGGTGCCTTGGAAGAAAGGGCTGGAGATGAACTTCCAGAAAATGAGCCACTGAAGGCCCGAGGGAGCACAGCTCTGCCCTGATGCACGTGGAGCTGCCACGAGTCAAGGGTCCACTTGACGGCAACTGGCCAGTGAAGTTTCTTCATCTCCTTGGACACTAAACTCCAGAAAGGCTAGGGCTTTGTGTTGGCCTCCGAGCACAGTAGGTAACTCAGTTGAACGTTGGTTGTCTGCCCTGCTGAACCGACTCTCGGCACTCATTACAAAGAGACCCATATTCTGGACAAGCCCAGAGGAGGGCGGCTCTGCCACAGCCCATGGAAGGCTGCCAGTTCATGGACCCTTTGCCAAGTGTCCCTGCTCCCGAATCCAGCCAGAACTGCATCCTGGGTAATGAGAGGGCCCTGGCATCCATGCTACACGGTGGGCTGCTCACTGCAGTCAGCACTTCAACACCACCAGCAGCTCCGAGGGAGAAAGACGAGGCTTTCTCCCCGCCGTAGAGTTAAGTCTCGGAAGCCCACGGGGCAGTTCTACCCTGTGCTATAGCATCGCCTTGAGTCAGCATGGACTCGAGGGCAGTACGTTCAGTTGGGTGACCTACACTGGGAGGAGATGGGAAGGGTCCACAGGATAGCGCAGCGGGGGCATAGAAGAACACTCCCGGGCCCTATTCTAACAACACCCTTCTTCAAGGTAGAGGGTCTGAGACCATGCCTTCCTTCTCAACTCTTTGCTGTCTTCCTGCCAGGCGGTCCATGGATGAGATCGTGTGTGTCTCGCCCCCGTCATCCAATGGCCTAGGCCCAGTCGCTGTCTCTGTGAGTGTAGACCGCGCCCGTGTGGACAACAGCCTGCAGTTTGAGTACATCGATGACCCTCGTGTCCAGCGCATCGAGCCAGAGTGGAGCATTGCCAGGTGAGGCGGTGGGTGGGTCTGGGAGGCCTGTCCTCAAGGCTGCATCAAGGGTAGTGCTCAGGGGAGACTCTAGTGCAATGGCTCTCAGCCTTTCTAATGCTGTGACCTGCTAATACAGTTCCTCATGTGGTGGTGGCTCCCCAACCATAACATTATTTTTGTTGCTACTTCATCACTGTCATTTTGCTGCTGTTATGAATCGGACAACCCCTGTGAAAGGGTCGTTCGACCCCCCAAAGGGGTCATGACCCACAGGTTGAGAACTGCTACTCTAGGGTCTAGGTTCTCTGCTCCTGTAAACCTCTACAGTCTCAGAAACACTACAGGGTATCTATGCATTGGAATTGACTCAAGGACAGTGGGTTTGGGTGGTGCAAATAGTTAATGCACTCAGTCAACTCCTGACTAAAGGTTGAATGTTCAAGTCCTCCCAGAGACATCTCAGAAAGGCTTGCAAATCTGCTTCCAAAGAACAGCCATTGAAAGCACTGAAGGCAGTAGGGGGTTGGTGGCAGAACCAGGCAAGAGTCCAAACATGCAGACGCTTCCTAACTGGATGGTCTCAGCTACTGGTGGGCTGGATGGCACCATCACACCCAAGCCCTGGGACACCCATGCTACTCTGGCATGCATGGCGTTGCCATGAGTCGGCATTGGCTCAATGGCCCCTGGTCAGCTGGTCATGTTCCAGAGGGTTTTCCCTAATACAGCCTTTGCTTGTTTCCAGTGGCTACACACCCCTCACCATCACAGGCTTCAACCTGGATGTCATTCAGGAGCCGAGGATCCGGGTCAAGTTGAACGGCAAAGAATCTGTCAACGTGAGTAGCCCCTGTCCATTTTGACAGTCAGCACCGTGCGTGTGTGT